GGGGGGAGGGTGAAATTCCTGGGGGTTTTTGGGGTGATCCAAAATACCTGCCGGGCAGTTGGTGCCAGCACAGCCACAGTGTCCCCAGCAGCCACCAGCTGGGGTTGGTTACTCAATAACTTCCACCCTCCAGCTCTAATTGCACAAGTTAGTTGGTTGGGTTGGTTGTTTGTTTTTTTTTTTGGGGGGGGTGAATCAACTCATTTAGTGGTTTAGGGTCTGGCTCTTGCTCAGCCCAACGGGTGGGACTGGGAGAAAGGGGGACAGGGATGAGAACAAGCAGGAGGTTTGGGTTCCAAACCCCCCAGCAGCCTGGAGGGGGGGGGGTGGAAATAAATAAAACAAAGAGGAGGAGGAAACCCAGCAGCTGCAGAACCTGGGTGGGTTGTTCCCTGCTTCCTGGGAACACCTGCACTGGGGAGCAGGACTTTCCCCCGTGGCAGAAAAAGCTTTTTCCAAGGCAGAACCAGCCACAGGAGGAGTTTTTCCACAGCTGGGACAAACCAGGTTCTTCCAAGAGAATGATCCCTCCATCATCAAGGACTTGGGTTTCTAACCCAGCCCCAGAAGAGCAGGGCAGGAGCTCCTGCCCTTGCCACGGTGCTGGGGTTTGAACTTCACCTCCCCGAGCTCCAGCAGGAGATAATGGGTCTTTCCGGGCATCTGAAAGGGGTTGGCATTGATTTTTTGGGTTGTTTTGTGTTGTTTTTTTTTTTCTCAGCTACAAAGTGAGGGAGAGCAGAAAAGCACCTGCAGGCTCCTCCCTGCATCTTCAGCCCCTCTGTGCCTCCAGGCCAGGTGTGCCCGGGAGGATCAGGACACATCCATGAATTCAACCAGGGCTTCAAGGTTTCATCACCCCCAGGGACCCTTTTGGCTCCTCTCCCCTCCCATCTCCCCATTTTCCTGCCTGACCAGCTCTGGGGAAGCTGCCCCCTGATTCAGCAGCAGGTTCTGCTGCTGCAAACCCCCTGCATGTCCCCATGTCAAAGGGGGTAATTTCCCCCTTAAAGCTGAACTTGGAACCCCAAGCAAGACTCCTCCAGCCTCAGACAGGGGGGGTTGCCCTGGACCCACACATTCCACCCCCACAGACACGGTTTTCTTGCCCACCACAACCCCAAGGAACCCCAACCTTGCAAAACCAACCCAGTTTAACAAAGCACCCTTGGCCAAATCCATCAATCCAGCCCCTGCTCCACTTCCCAAAGCTCTGGGGAGCAGATGTCCTCCCAGGTGCCCTCCAGTTGCTCACAAACCAACCCCCCCACACACACACACACTTTTATCCAGCCACGAGCAACTTCACCCAGTGTTTTCCTCTTCCAAAGCCAGAGCAGGTCCCCAGTGCTCTGCCCTGGAACCAGTTCACCAACTGGTCTCCATCTGGAAGCAGCTCAGTGGTTCTGCCTTTACCCCCTGGTTCCCAGGTCAGGGCTGGGGGAGGAGCAGGATCCATCCCTGCACATCAAGGGGCTCGTGGAAACAAGGAAGGGGGACACCTGATTGGCAAACAGGTTTTTTTCCCTAACAGATCCCAGGAAATCAGAGAAGGGCTTTGGACACCTCTGGTAGAGCAGGAGGAAACTCTGGGGGTGCCCCCCCAGCCAGGGAACAGGCAACAGCTCCCATGGGAACAACTGGTTGAACAGCTCAACAAGCATCAGAAGCCAAACCCTTTGCCTTCCTGCCAGGACAGGATCCAGCTGCATCCCAAGGACAACATTCCCAGCCCCCCCTCCCCACCCAAACCTCACAGCACCCATCCCCACACCCCACATTCCCCCAAACTCCCCCCCCAGCTCCCCCCAGTGCCAACCCAGCCCAGCCCAGGCTCTTGACCTACCAGCCCCTTGTCCCCTTCCCCCCTGGCTCCAAGGATGGCCAAAAAAAATGGTTCCCTTGGGAAAACTAATCAGCCTGGGAGGCCATGAGCTGCTTCCCTGCACCCATGGGTGCCTCTCCTGCCAGCTTCATTGTATTGAAGGTGTGGGAGAAAGTGCAGAGAATGGGACAATCCATTTTCCTCCCAGCACCCCCGGGCAGGTTCCAAGCCAAGCCCAGAGGACCTGGGGAAACCACTGGGAACATTTGCCCAGCCATGGAACAAGGGATCTCCCACAGCCAAAAGCTTCTCCTTCCCATCAGGGTGGTTGCCTGGAGCATTCCCATGGATGTGGGGATCAAGTGGGGTTCCCAGGGTGTTGGCTCCAATGCAGGGTCAAGGCACCAGTGTGGACGTGCTGCTGGGAACCCAAAAGTAACTCAGGAGCAGCCCAATAGGTGGGGGGTTTGGGGGCTCTGGGTGGGGAGTAGGGACCAGTGACCCCAGGAGGTGATGCTGGGGGTGGTGGGAGGGTGCTGGGGGCTAATTCCAGCAGGCAGCCTCCCCTCCCCTGTGCAAGGAGGTGACCCCAGCCAGGATACTGGAGAAGGGGTTGGATGGAGCAAGGAGCTGGAAAGCAGAGTGTGTGAATTAGATCCTGATGAAGAAGGTGGCCCAGCCAGGCTGAGGGAGGACACCCTGCCCACCTCACTGCCCACCCAGTCACCACTGGTACCCCCCAGAGGGTTTGCAGGCCTGAAAACAGCTGTTGGTGGGTGGAATCCAACCCAAGGGCTTGGCCACCACCAGTGGGCACTGGTCTGATCCCAGTGCCCATGAGCTGGGGGGTACCTGCCCCTCCCACAGCCCCCCAGCCAAGGCCATGAGGTCCTGCTGGTGCCAAGCCAGCTTGATGGTGCTTGGGAATGTGGTTTAGCCCTTGGCTCTGAGTTAGGTGAATGGTTGGACTCAATGATCCTGAAAGGTCTTCTCCAACCAGAAGGGTTCCATGATTCTGTGCCAGCAGACACAGAGGGGCAGCTTGTCCCCAAGCTTGGGGTTTACTGGAGTAGCTGTGGCCACAGCAGCTGGGAACCCATCACCATAACCACCCCCCCAAGAGAAAAAGCTGTTTATGGAGCACAAGGACCCAAGAGACCCTCACAGATCCCCCCGTGAACTTCTCGAGCTGCTCTGTGCCTGGGTATAATCACAGGGACGTGGGTAGAAGCTTTTACTTGATGTTCAAGTTCAAAAAACAGGTTTCTGGTCCCCCCCTGCACCCCAGAGAGCAGCCCCAGGCAGGCAGGTGAGCAGGCAATGCCCCATCCTGCTCATCCCCACGGATTAGGGGGGACAGGGTCTTCCTCATACCCTCTGGAGACCCCCAGCAACACCCCAAATGCCCCAGAAACATCACCCTGTGCCCCCAAGGGGATGAGATCCCCTCCAAGCTGCCACCCAAATGTCCCCTCCTCAGGTGATCCCAGCCCTTCAGGTGCTTGGGCACAAGCTCAGCTGGAGATTGATTTCCCAAGAGGAGCTTCAGATCCACAGTCTCATCTCCAGGCCACAGGGACCCCCCCCCTCCCATGTCAAGGAATTGCTTCCCAGCCCCCCAATCCCAACAAAACATGGAAGAAATCAATAGCTGTGAGGCCCAAAAAGCCTTCAGCCAGTTGTTCTACCTGGTGCTGCTGAGGACACAGATCCTGGAGCCTCAGGAGAAGCTGCAGGTGTAAAATGTAGGGCAAGAAAAGCTGGGGTTTGGGAATCACTGCTCCTTCCTAAGGCTGCTGGGAGGGAAGGGTCCTGTCCAGGAGCCAAGTGGGAACTCACAGAAGGGCTCCAGGCTCAGGTTTCTGTCCCAAAGAGCAGCATAAAAATAGAGGTGAGGAAAGGGAAATCTGCTGAGCAATGGGACAGGGGGAAGCACAGGGACAGGGGGAATCACAGGGACAGGGGAACCACAGGGAGAACCACAAGGACAGGGGGAATCACAAGGACAGGGAGAACCACAGGGACAGGGGGAACCACAAGGACAGGGAGAACCACAGGGACAGGGAGAATCCCAGGGACAACCCCAGGGACAAGGAGAACCAAAGGGACAAGGGGAACCACAGGGAGAAGGACAGGGGGAACCACAGGGACAAGGGGAACCACAGGAAGAACCCCAGGGAGAACCCCAGGGACAGGGACAACCCCAGGGAGAACCCCAGGGACAACCCCTTCCCCAGCAGCTGGGAAGGGCAGGTTAGAAATCCCAGAACAAACCAGAACAGGGAAAACTGGGCAGCTCCCTTCTATGCCCCAGCTCATGAATCCCAACAGGAATCAGGTCTTGGGATCAGCTCCACACTCCAGCTGGGAGCAACAACCCTGTAAAGCTGTGGGTGACCACACCAGAAGCCCCCAGTTATTCCATCCATTGTCACCCACCAGCTCAGGGTCCCCCACGATGCTCCCCAAGGCATCATGTTGGAGCAGACTGGGACTGTCCCAGGATGTCCTGCTCTGGGGACAGGTCACCCTTGATGAGCTAATCAAGGCCTAATGAAGGGCTGGGGTTGGGCTTTACCCTCCAGCCTGTGCCCACCTGCATCTGCCAGGCCCTGCTTGGGGTGCCCATGGGGGGGCTCATGGTGGTGTCCCCACCCAGAGGGACCAGCCCTGGGTTCCAGCAGCTCATTGAAGCTCCTGAGAAAGCCCAGAGCAGCCCTGGGGAGGAAAAATAAATCACAGCAGCCAAACAAGATCCCCTTGTGGTACCCAACCCGTGCCAGGGCAGCACCCATCCCCAGGGGGGCTGGCAGGGGCAGGGGTGCTGGGCCAGCAGGGCAGGACCCCCACTAGTCCCATTGATCTGCACTGGTTTTCCTGTTCCCCAAACCCTCTGCAGCCCCAAAACCTCCCTGAGACTCTCCAGGATGGGCTGGGATGGGTGAGAGCTGCTGGTTGGGGGCCACCATGGGTCCTCACCCTGGGGACCTGGGGGTGGGTCATCTCCTGCCAGCCTGTTCTGCCTCTCATCTGGGAAGGAGGGACCCTTTGCTCGGTGCTGAGAGACACCAAAACTGTCCTGGATGTCAGAAATTGGGAAGGTAAGGGCTGGTGGGAGGGCAGTTCAGCCCCAAGGAGGGGCCAGATCCTGCCAAGAGCCTAGCTGAGCTGCTCTGGGAAGTGGGAATGGAGAAGCCAAAGGGATCTGGGCAGGATCACACCTTTAATAACTGGGTTTTCCGGACCTTTCTCAGCCACACTGGGCTGAGCTGAGGTGGCACCAAGGCTGCCTGGGAGCTTGGGGCTCATCCTGGCCACAGCTCCTCTTCCCTCTGGGAATTGCCCCCCTTGGGTCCACTTGTGGTGGCAGGACAAGGGGCCATGGGCACAAGCTGGAGCACAGGAGGGTCAAGTTAAACATGAGGAACAACTTCTGGACTCTGAGGGTCCCAGAGCCCTGGGCCAGGCTGCCCAGGGAGGCTGTGGAGTCTCCATCCCTGGAGACATTCCCAACCCACCTGGATGTGGGACCTGCTGGAGGTGACCCTGCTCTAGCAGGGGGGGTTGGATTAGATGATCTCCAGAGCTCCCTTCCCACCCTGACCACTCTCTGGACTCTTTTTCTGCTGGAGGGGGAGCCCAAACTTGCAGGGTCCTGGGAGCCACCCCTGCAGTGACAGGGGGGTCCCCACGGGGAGCAGTGGGGCCACCCCAGTGGCCCAGCCAGCTGCACCTCCCTGGTGCCCACGTCTCTGCATTTTGAGGTTCATGAAAAGCCTCAGCACCTGCTGAATGTTGGAGGCAGCCAAGGAAGATCCAGGTGGATCATCCACCCCCTCTGTGTGTCCAGGGGGGAGCCTGGGTCACTGAAGCAGGACCAGGGACACGTGGAGACACCTCTGAAGCCACCACCTCTGGTGAAAATGTTGGTGTTTTCTGCTTTCCTCCTTCTCCACCAGCACAGCTGACCCCAAAAGATCTGCTAGCCCAAAACCACGTGCTTCTAGCCCTGCTCTGGATCATTATTCTTCAAGTAAAAGATACCCTGACTGTCTTGTTCAGTAGCTCATGGGAGCAAACAAACAAGTGGCATCTGAAAAGCCAAAGGAATCAGAGGTGTCACAGGATCACTCTGGTTGAAAAAGACCTTTAAGATCATTGAGTTCAACCACTACCCTAACTCTGCAGGATCCACCACTGGCACCACATCTGTCTGCTTAGATGTCTCCAGGGCTGGCGGCTCAACCACCTCCTTGGGCAGCCTGGATCACCCAGTCCAGCTCCTGCCCCAGAACAGGACAAGCCCAAAGTTCACACCTTGTCCCTGAGGGTGTTGTCCAAGTGTTTCTTGAACCTTGTCAGGTTCTGTGCCATCCCTGCTTCCCTTCCCCTCTGCCACCAGCCAGGCTGGCTGCACCCCTGTGCTGCTGATGCCACCCAAGCAGGGACAAAACCCACCCAGACCCACACAAGGAGGACAGGACCCCATGCCCTGGGCCTTCAGGCTCCTCTTTCTCTCCCTGCATCTTCTTCTTCACCTCTGGAACAGGGATGGCTGGGGATTCATCACCAGCAGGAAGGGGTTGATGGACACAGGGTTGGGTTCCTGTGGCTCCTGGATGCACAGAGCCACGTTTGGAGGCTCCTCTCATCTGTCTGGGGGGGAAACATTGCACGTGTGGCCCCATCCTGACCTGGCAACTCATCAGGCACCAGCCAGGAGGGAGCTCAGCACAGCAGGGGCTCCCACTGCCACTTCAACTGGGCCCAGTTACACACCAGTGCCACTTCAGGCTGGTGGGAATCCTCCAGGGGAGCAACCAGCAGGGTTTAACCCCCTGTTTGGTGCACAGACTGAAGAGCTGGGGACACTGCAGCATCTGCCAGGGAGCCAGGAGGGGGGTGGCAAAGCCCCCAGCACCCTGACAGCATCAAACAGCAGCTCTTGATTCCCCAATCCCCTGTTTCTGTCTCCTCTGGGAGCTCCACCCCCCCCAAAAAAAACCCCCCCTCCAGTCACAGCAACCCCCTCCATCCAGCTTCCCCTTTTCCCCAGGAAAATCCCCCCCTTCCCCTCCCCAGCCAGCCCTGTCACTGGAATGTGCTGGTTTAATTGGTTACCCAGCTCCTGCAGGCTTTGGAAGATGAAAAGCCCTCGCCAGGAGAAGTGTGGGGTGGTGATGGTTTATTCATGTGCAACCATCATTATTTTACCTTCCAAGAGCTCGGGGTGACAGGGAGGAGTGAAAGGGGGGGGAGGAGAACAGAGGGGGAGGGAAGAAGAAGCCCCAAGAACCCTCCACAACTTTCTTCTCCATCTCCTGCCATCCAGGGGACCAGCCCCCCTCCCAAAGCTGCTGCTCCTCAAGGGGTTGGTTGACAGATTTCTGGGCTCCCACCAGCCCAGGGAAACAGGATCAGAGAAGCAAGGAAAGGGAGCAGCAGATGCCAGGAGCCTCCAGGGCTCCATCACCCAGCTCTGCAGGCCCCCCAGGGGTTCTGCTTGGGGAGGAGCATCCCCCCAGCACCCACCCACCCACCTGCACCCCCAGCCCTTCCTCCCAGGGCAGATTTCTCCCCTGACAACCCCTCAGCTCCCACCCATGGGTGATCATCCCCCCCCAGGGCCACCAACCGGCGCGGTGGCAAGAGAGGAGAGGGGTTGTGTCCAACCCCAACAACCATCACAAGATTCTGATGGTCAATCTGATGGAGGAGAATGAGCCAATCCTCACTGGGGACAAACATTCCCAATCCTCTCTAGGGACAAACCTTCCCAGTCTCCACCAGGATGCTGGGCAGGGATGGGACACGGAGCAACACAAGGATGGAGACGAGTTTTCCAAGGGGGTTTGTGTCCAATCCCAACAACCATCACAAGATTCTGATGGTCAATCTGATGGAGGAGAGTGATCCAATCCCCACCAGGGACAAATATTCCCAGTTGCCACCAGAGACAAACCTTCCCAATCCCCTCTAGGCACAAACCTTCCCAGTCCCCACCAGGATGATGCAGGGATGGGACACGGAGCAGCGCAAGGAGGGAGACGAGTTTTCCAAGGGGGTTTGTGTCCAACCCCAACAACCATCACAAGATTCTGATGGAGAATCTGATGGAGGAGAATGAGCCAATCCTCACTGGGGACAAACATTCCCAATCCCCTCTAGGGACAAACCTTCCCAGTCTCCACCAGGATGCTGGGCAGGGATGGGACACGGAGCAACACAAGGATGGAGACGAGTTTTCCAAGGGGGTTTGTGTCCAATCCCAACAACCATCACACGATTCTGATGGAGGAGAGTGATCCAATCCCCACCAGGGACAAATATTCCCAGTTGCCACCAGAGACAAACCTTCCCAATCCCCTCTAGGCACAAACCTTCCCAGTCCCCACCAGGATGATGCAGGGATGGGACACGGAGCAGCGCAGGGATGGAGATGAGTTTTCCAAGGGGGTTTGTGTCCAACCCCAACAACCATCACAAGATTCTGATGGACAATCTGATGGAGGAGAGTGATCCAATCCCAACCAGGGACAAACATTCTCAATTCCCACCAAGGACAAACCTTCCCAGTCCCCACCAGGATGCAGGGCAGGGACACGGAGCAGCACAGGGAAGGAGACGAGTTTTCCAAGGGGGTTTGTTAGTCGGGGTTGTTTTTATCTTCTTGTTCTGCTTTGCTTTCTCCTTGATTGCTTTTTGGGGGTTTTTTATTGGCACCAAGCACCCACCCACTGTCACCTCACCAAAGCACTGCACGAGAAACCAGGGGAACAGAGGGGGGATCCAGCTCTGCAGGTCCCAGATTCACACCCAGTCAGACCGAGGGAATTAAAAAGAAGTTTCTAAGAGTGTAGAAAACCTTTAGAAATATTCCTGTACCAATTTACACCAGGCAGATCCATCCTACCCTTGCTCAGCAATTTCTCTGTGGATAATTCTGTTATTTAGTTGCTTTTTTCCCCACCAGAATCAACTGTTCTTGTTGGTTTTGTTCCAGCGACGAGAGGGGTTGTGGTTTTTTTTTGCAATGACCACCACAAAATATATAGAGATATATATATATTTATGTATATATTTATAAAAAGAAAAGGGGAAGAGGAGAAAGGGAAATGAAAATCAGCTCATTCTGCAACGGTCAGAACCAACACAGAGAAAACCAAAGCAGGCCATTGAGTTCAGTTTGAAACTGTACAGGAGCTCGTTAGATTATGTATATATCTATATACATACATATAGAGATATGTATATATAT